ATATGATCCTAAGGTCATTGATTTGACATCAGGTCAAGTTCACTACAACAACAACAAAAAAACGAGATGTTGTGAGATTTACCTTTATGTCCTTGTTGGGCTACCATAGAGAGGTTGCCTAGGAGCAGAACAGAGATGGCACTGGGGGGTTATTATAGAAGGCACCTGACATGTACGCACCTGCTGCTTGACAATAAAAGTTTACTTCTAGTGATACTGCGTTTTCCTGTCCCATTTCATGACACCAGTTATATATACAGTACTGATGTAATTTTTTACACAATTTTATGAAAATATATTTTAAATTGTATGGATATTGCTGTAAAAAAGTAAGTCTGGTGTAAAATAACATGCTTCCTATGAATAATTTCTATAAGACAATTTTTAATGGACTCTGTTCTATTTTCAAATTAAAACATCGTGCATCGGCCATTTAAATTTGCACTGTGTTTTTGTGTCTCTGCAGGGCGAGTGCTCTCCAAAGTGTCGCAACATGTTTGTGGTGGAGTCCATCTGCGTTGCCTGGTTCACTCTGGAGTTCGTGCTGCGCTTCGTCAATGCTCAAAGCAAGCTAGCCTTCGCTCGTGGCCCACTCAACATTATTGATGCCATCGCTATCTTGCCGTACTATGTGTCCTTGGTACTGGATGTGGGTGATGAGTCCCAGGAGGATGTCATCATGGGAGCCAGCAGGGGCTACCTGGATAAGCTGAGTTTAATCCTGCGCCTGCTGCGAGCCCTACGAATCCTCTACGTGATGCGGTTAGCACGCCACTCTTTGGGCCTACAGACGTTGGGGCTGACCATGCAGCGCAGCTTGAGGGAGTTTGGTCTGCTGCTGCTCTTTGTCTGTGTGGCTGTCACACTCTTTGCACCTCTGGTCCATCTGGCAGAGAGCGAGCTGGCACCATTGGCTGCCATTAACCCCCACCACAGGTTCAGCAGCATCCCAGCCTCCTACTGGTGGGCCATCATCTCCATGACCACAGTGGGCTACGGCGACATGGTGCCGCGCAGCGTCCCTGGACAGATGGTGGCGCTCATCAGCATCTTGAGTGGTATCCTTATCATGGCGTTTCCCGCCACCTCCATATTTCATACGTTTTCCCGCTCATATCAGGAGCTGAAGCAGGAGTATGAGCGGGTTTGGAAGCAGGAGCAACACGAGGAGAAGGATGATCACTCACCGGATAAAGAATCAATGTCCAACAAGATGCATCCATCGAAACTTCCACCTGCGGCTTTCTGATGAGACTTAGAGACAAACTGTTTGTTGAAACAACAAAGTCCATGCTCAATAATCCAGGTATACAATCCAACATTTTTCAGTCAGGTCATCTGGACAGTTTCTTTTTTTTTGTGCTGAAACGTTTCGCCTTCGATCCGGAAGGCTTCATCTGTCAAGGAAACAAATAACACAAAACTAATTTACTGATGTTGTGTGTTTCCTTGACTGATGAAGCCTTCTGGATCGTAGGCGAAACGTTTCAGCACAAAAAAAATAAACTGTCCAGATGACCTGACTGAAAAATGTTGGATTGCATACCTGGATTATTGAGCATGGACTTTGTTGTTTTCAACCAGTTTGACATGACCGTCAACAAGGAAGAGGGCCGGCAATGGAGGAGAGGGCGTGCCAAAGACACCATCTTAGCACCAACATAACTGGTTTGTTCCACTTTGGAGTAAGCTGTTGGGGGAAGAATCAGTTTTGTTGTGTGTTTCCTTGACTGATGAAGCCTTCTGGATCGAAGGCGAAAAGTTTCAGCACAAAAAAAGAAACTGTCCAGATGACCTGACTGAAAAATGTTGTTTATTGAAACATTTGCAATTCTGACAATTGTTCTCTAAACGTGTTCCCTAACTTCCCAACACTCTTATGCGATGTTGGGTTTAAGTCTGTTTCTTGATCTGGAGTCTCCCTTTAGTAATCTTCCATCAGATTGAGTCTCAGTAGATTTATTCTGAAAACTGTCACATCTGCACATTTATTTAATGCAGCTGAAACGTTTCACTAAATCCTGCTCACAAACAGAAACTGGGACCATTTATGTTTTTACAATCTTGTGTACAGGTGTTGTCTTCACCTGTCGGACAGTTGATGTAAAGTACAGTAGTCCCTCGCTACTTCGCTGTTCATTTATCTTGGATTCGCTATGTTGCAGTTTGTCAATATAAGATTGAACATGACACAATTGGCTGATTAATGGATGAGCAATGGATTGTTTATTTAAAATTAATTATTTTAAATGATTTTACACCATGTGTGCAGCCCACAAGTGCAGGGGAAGCTCCCTCCTGCAGCTGATCAGCTGATTTCCTTCTCTGCCACACATTTCTCCTGCTGCATCGGCTTTGTGAAGGGTTAACCCTTTGCTGTCCAGATGCACCGATTGACATTTGTCTTCCAACTTAAAATTCAAAATATGTAACATCATAAAATCATAATCACAAAATATAAAAGTTAAAAGTTATTTTTAATAATTTTAGAACTGCTTTGTTCAGTTGTTTCAGTGTAATTGATCAAGAAGAACATTTGTGCTCCGTGCTGCAGAGCTGAAGCTGCGTGACATCCCTTTGATGTCCTGCTGCACTTCTCTTCTCTACAGTTTTAATTTAAATACTGTAACACTTTAAATAAACAATCTGTGCTCTATGGATTGTTTATTTAAAATGTTACAGTATAGTATCTGATTCTGATTTAAATTGTTTATTTAAGGAGGGAGATTAGGAGTAACAGGTGATGAGTGAGTGTGATTGCTGCCTGGCACATCATGATAAAGTTTACTGAACTTGAACTGAACTTAAACTTGGACTATTGTTTCCCTACTTGACGTTTTTTCACTGATCACTGGTGGGCGTGGGTATGGACCCGGACCCAAACCCGCGATAAACGAGGGACTACTATATTCCAAAAGTTTAAATATGTTGCTTAAACGGCTCATTTAGATATCCTGATGCATGCTCAATAATACAGGTAGAAAAATCTAAAAAAGTTAAATCTGGTCCTCTGGACATTCAAAAACAAAACAAAGCAAATCAACAACAAAAAAAAGTATGGTATGGTATATAGTTTATTCATTTTAAAAAAGTACAAAACAATTCCATAACAATATTAAAAAAAGATACAAAAGATTTAAAATGAAAGGCAGCAGAAAGAAGAAAAAATCTTATTATATCTGCCCCTTTTTTCAAACAATTATTTCAGACATAATAATTTTCAAGTAACAGAACAAAATGAATAACTTTCTAATTTATCTAATTCTAATACAAAACACACACTAAGCTACTTCATATATACTTTTTTAACAATTCAGCTTTGATCTTTTTCTTAAATGTACACATTGACTTGACATTTTTCACATCACTCTCTAGAACATTCCACAATCCAACTCCTTGGATTGAGGTAGACCTTCCCTTCAGACTAGTTCTGAATGTTGGTTTGACAAATATTTCTACCCCCTTAAGATTATAACAACTTTGTCTTTTAACAAAATTTCTTTGGATATTTAATGGTAATGTGTTATTTTGAGCCCTATACATAACTGATAAAATACTATAATCTACCAAATCATGGAACTTCAATAAGTTCAGTTGATGAAATAATGTGCTTGATGGGTGACTGTAATGCTTTCTGGTGATAATTCTTACAGCTCTTTTCTGTAAAATAAAAATAGGTTTTGTAAATGTTTTACACGCTTTCCCCCAAACATCAATGCAATAGATTAAATGTGGAACAATGATTGTGTTATACAACATGTACAGAGCTTTATCATTTAATAATTCCCTGACTTTGTATAGTACTGCAATAGATTTAGATATTTTTATTCTTACAGAATTGATGTGATTTTTCCATGTTAGCTGTTCATCAATGATTACACCCAAAAATTTCATCTCATTAACTCTACAAATCTCAACACCCTCAATTTTAAATGGATCATCAACAGTTCTCTTTTTGTTACTAAATATCATGTATTTAGTTTTATCTAAATTTATTGATAATTTATTAAGTTTAAACCAAGTTTGTATTTTATCAAATTCTGTCTTCATCAATTCCAACATCCGTTTTACATCTTTACCCAAACAGAAAAATGTGGTGTCATCTGCAAAAAGGACACATTTGAGGAGTCCAGATACATTCACTAAGTCATTCACATATAAAATAAATAACTTTGGTCCAAGTACAGAGCCTTGAGGAACTCCACATGTGATATTGCTGAGGTCAGATCTTACACCATTTATTTGTACAAACTGTTTCCTATCTTTCAAATAGCTAGATACCCAGTGTAATGCTGGTCCTCTTATACCATATTTATTTAATTTTTCAAGGAGAATAGTGTGGTCAATAGTATCGAATGCTTTTTTTAAATCAACAAAAATACTAACACAATACTGTTTTTGATCGACAGCAGTAGTTATTTGTTCTATTATTTCCATGAGAGCCATTGATGTAGAGTTTTTTGCTCTAAACCCATACTGACTGCTACTTAGAATGTTTTGTTTAGTAATAAATTTATCTAATCTGGTCACAAACAGTTTTTCTAGAATTTTTGAGAACTGTGGTAATAAGGATATTGTCTATAATTATTGAACACACATTTATCACCATTTTTAAAGAGAGGAACTACCTTAGCTACTTTCATATTGTCTGGAAATATTCCTTTTGAAAATGATAAATTACAAATATATGTAAATGGCTTGATAACATAACTCATTATGTCCTTTACAAACATCATATCCATGTCCACCCAGTCTTTTGATCTCTTATCTGTAAGATTTTTTACAACATTCATTATTTCTTCTTTGTCAGTTCCATTAAGAAAAATACTGTTGTCACAACTTATAACTGAATGGTTCACATTATTGTCTACTTTTGGTATTTTAGCTGCAAGGCTTGATCCAACGTTCACAAAATGATGATTAAATCCATTTACAATTTCATTTTCATCATGGATTTCATCGTCATCCTTCAAAAAATATTGTGAAATACCTGTTTTTGCTTTATGACTTTTCAGAACACTATTTATTACTCGCCATGTAGCTTTCATATCACCACTACTTTTATTTAATAAATCACTATAATATTCCTTCTTGTGTTTCCTTATAATCCCTACTAATTTATTTTTAATCTTCTTATATTTCTCTTCAGCCTCTTGTGTTCTCAATTTCAAGAAACGTATACAAATAATTCTTTTTTTTACAAGCATTTCTCAACCCTTTCGTCATCCATGGTTGGTCAACAACATTTCTCTTTGTACAATTATTTTGCACACAATTCTTTTCATACAGAGCTCCCAAAATATTCATAAACTCATCATATGATCTGTTCACATCATCAACATACACGTCTTTCCAGCTTTGTTTATGTAAATCATCTTTTAATTTGTCCAATGCTTTTGTCCATCCATTTTTTTCAAAAAAAATGTAGAAATGTTTCATCTTTCATCCAAGAGACTTCCTCAGTCTGAGGTGCTGTATTCAGCTCAGTCTCTTAAATAGCACCTTCTCAGAGTGGATCAACCAGTTTGCTGCTGACAACCAGAACCAGCTGATCACATGCTCAAGAAGGACCATCAGCCTAACAATGGATCATTAGCACCTGATGGCTGTTTACTGTTCACAGAGGGCTGAGTGATACTAGCAATCACAGCATTGTAAGAGGGGGACAGTTGAACCCGGAGGCCTCCACCCCTGTTTAATGATGGACGATTTCTTTTCACAAAGATGGCCTCCTTTACTCCTCTCTCAAACCATTGTTCCTCTCTGTCCAGGATGTGAACATCTTCATCCCTGAAAGAGTGACCGCTGGCCTGGAGATGAGTGTAGACCGCAGAGTCCTGGCCTGATGATGTTGATCTTCTGTGCTGGGCCATCCTTTTGGCCAGTGGCTGTTTTGTTTCCCCGATGTAAGACTGATCATAGCCCTCCTGACACTGAACTAATGTTGTGTATGCTGTTCAGTGTCTCAACACTCATGACTCAACCCAAGCAGTAAATGCTCCACTTCTAAGGAAGCTTATTCAGTGGAACCGAGTACTTCGTCACGATTTCTGATGACCCCCAGCTACTCTAACCGGAGACGCTGAAAAGGGAGCGTACTAATGGACTTCTGTTCCGGAGTGGAGGTATCCACCATCCCAGGTAACAAGCCGTTAACGTCCTGAAGTGTACCGGAGAGCTGAGCTGGATGTTGGAGAAAGGGTGCAATATTCTGGTTCCACACATAACTTTCATCCTTAAATCTAAACT